CTGTTCCCGGTGTCCATCCCAGTTCCCGGTGTCCCATCCCAGTTCCCGGTGTCCATCCCTGTTCCTGGTGCCCATCCCCGTTCCCGGTGCCCGTCCTGGTTCCCGGTGTCCCATTCCAGTTCCCGGTTCCCATCCCAGTTCCCGGTGCCCATCCTGGTTCCCGGTTCCCATCCCGGTTCCCGGTGCCCATCCCGGTTCCCGGTGTCCCGCGGCACTCACGCTGCGCCGGGGGTCGGCCATGCTGCGCACGAAGGCCGTGGACTCGCAGGTGCAGGAGCGCACGGTCTCGGTGCGGCCCTCGCGGAACAGCCGCGTCATGGAGGCCTCGTACGTCAGGCAGAAGGAGCCCTTGTCCTGCGGGATGGATCCCATCGATCCCATCGATCCCATGGATCCCATGGATCCCATGGATCTCATGGATCCCATCGATCCCATCGATCCCATCGATCCCATGGATCCCATGGATCTCATGGATCCCATCGATCCCATCGATCCCATCGATCCCATGGATCCCATGGATCTCATGGATCCCATCGATCCCATCGATCCCATCAATCCCATGGATCCCATCAATCCCATGGATCCCATCAATCCCATGGATCCCATGGATCTCATGGATCCCGTGGATCCCATAGATCCCATCGATCTCATGGATCTTATGGATCCCATGGATCTCATGGGTCCCATCAATCCCACGGATCCCATGGGTCCCATGGATCCCATCGATCCCATTGATCTCATGGATCCCATCAATCCCACGGATCCCATGGATCCCATGGATCCCATGGATCCCATGGATCCCATTGATCCCATCGATCCCATGGATCCCATCGATCCCATCCTATTAATCCCATCCCATTCCCATTCCTATCCCCATCCCCATCCCATTCCTGATCCCATCCCGATCCCTCCCCAATCCCGATCCCATTCCTGATCCCATCCCGATCCCATCCCGATCCCGATCCCGCTGCTCCTCACTCGGAAGTGAGCCAGCTGCAGCGCGATCTGGATGAAGGCGTCGGGGCTGATCTCCCCCATCCCATCCTGATCCCAATCCCATCCAGATCCCTCCCCGATCCCTCCCAGATCCCTCCCCGATCCCATCCCATCCCGATCCCGATCCCATCCCGATCCCGATCCCGATCCCATCCCGATCCCGATCCCATCCCGATCCCGATCCCGCTGCTCCTCACTCGGAAGTGAGCCAGCTGCAGCGCGATCTGGATGAAGGCGTCGGGGCTGGTGCGGCACCGTTTGATGAGGCCTTTGCCGAAGGTGGTGAAGAGGAAGCAGCAGAAATCCACGTCCTCGGCCAGAGCCCGCGCCACGCCCAGCGACGCCTCGATGGCCGCCACCGCCTGGGGACACCGCACTGTCACCTGTGTCACCTGTGTCACCTGTACTCACACCTGTACCTGTACCTGTACCTGTACCCACACCTGTACCTGTACCAGTACCTGTACCTGTACCCTCACCTGTCCCCCCCGTCCCCCTGCCCCGTGCCCACCTCAGCCGGGATGTCCCACTGCAGGCGCTGGGGGGGGCCCAGCTGCCTCCGGGGGTCTCCCTTGCAGTGCCCCCCCTCGGTGTAGCCCAGATGGAACGTGTCGGTGGCCAGCATGAACTGGGGGGGACAGGGGGGCATTGGGGGGGGCAGCGACCCCCAGAGCCCCCAGACCCAAATTACATCA